TACGTTAACGTAGATTAAAACGGATACTTCTAATAGCTACCTAGGAGCGATTCTCTTATAAAAAGGACTAGATAGATAATTCTATCTAATTATATTCTTCTCGAAGACGATAAATCCCGCCGAATAAGGATACTATACTTACGATAAAGAGATATTAGTAATTATCCGTATATTAAAGGAGTAGCGAGCGGATCTAGAGGGATTATAACGACCGGACCGATTTAATATTTAGACGGACTACTAATCCCTATAGTATTTTATAATAAGCCGAATACTTAACGTAAGATAGGCCCGGTAAAGCGAGATCCTTTCCCGATTTTACTTCTTAATTTATTACTACCCTAGTAAGGGAAACGTAATTACCGACGTATTATCTCGGAAGGATAAAACTAACTATTAGAGAGTAGAATATACCCTACTTCTTAGAGAAGTATTAGAATAAGGAACCTATCTAGATAACTACGGTAACTCTCTTAAGGAAACGAAGGTAGCCTTAATCTTACTTTTACCGATTATATAACGAATCTTAATAGTAAATCGAACGAATAAGGCCTTATAAGGGCTACGGGACTAAATAGCTAGGAACAATAATAAGTAGATAATTAAAGACGGGTTATTATTAAACGAAAGGAGACTAATAGTGCCTAACGACGGAGATCTCTAAATAAGGCTACTTAACGAAATTTATCGCTAACTATTAACTATATACCTAGGACGAGAGAAGACTAAGCGGATACTTACTTCTAGATATTATTAGCTAGAGATAATTAATAACATAAGATAATATATAGATAACTACTAAATCTATAAGCGAATAAAGATATAAGGAGATCGAACTCTAGGGTTATTATAACTACTACTAATACCTAGAAGACCTTAGTAGTATCTTACGATAGATTTCCGCTTATTCCTAAAGGACCGCTATAGATATAATACCGTCTATATGTTTATAAATAGACTAACTAAATAGCCGATTTCGATACCTTACTATAAAGATATCGATATAAAAGGAATAGCTCGGTTATTCGTAGATTATATCTATCGATAGATAGGACTACTAAAGTTAATTATATTAGACCGAGGACCTTAGTTCGTATTAGGATTTTAGAAGGAGTTTTATCGAATTTTTAGAATCGAAAGGAAGCTATTAACTACCTATTAGTATATATAGTTATTACATATACGGGTATATACCTTTATACGGTCGAGATACGACTAAAGCCCTACTTTCCTTACCCCTTATTAGATTACTTAACCTCGTTATTAAACGATAAGATCTATTAGATTAATCCTTAACGATCTTATATATAATCGCCTACCTAGGTAGGAGACTACATAATACTCTAAGGATATTCCTTCTATTTTATTTATTATTCTACTATATACCCTATAATATAAGTATCACTATATTTTCTAACTAAATTAAATTAAGTTTAATATCTCTCTATAATATAAGAACTACTCTCGAGTATATTAATATAACCCTTCTTCTTTATTAATTAAGCTAACTACGTACCTTCTTATAAACCGTCTCTCTTTAATCCTATCTTTTATATACCTCTTTATTATATATATATATATTAGACCTTTCTATCTCTTTTCTGCCGAAGACCTTTTCCCCCGGGAAATACTACTTCTAAAGAAGACTTTTTATCTTATCTTTTCTTAGCCGAGAAAGTAACTATCCTATTTCTAATACTACCTATTACCTCTAGACGGACGGTTAAAGCGAAATCGTAAATTAGTATATAGTATAAAGATTACGGCCTTTCGTAAGCTATTATTAAGATAACTAGTTAGAATATCTCTTAATAGTAGATTTCGCTTTCGTTTCTTTACTATAAGAAATAATAGAAGTATTACCCTTCTTTATAGAAAGAGGGTATAAACTATATATATTATTTAATTAGAAACTAGCGGAAGCCTCTAACTAACTTAGCTAGATTATACCTTAATAAAGAACTATATTATCGTAGAACGGAGAAGCGAGTAAATATACTAGTAAGATATAGGAAATTTAAAGAGAAATATAAAGGAAGGCTACGTAGGCGTAAGAATATTAGCGCTAATAGGTAAATCGACACTAAAGAATAGAGGATTTTAGCGTTAGCGACCGAGTATATATAATAATAAGAAATTAGAAACTAGACCGACCTAGTAGGAAGCTCGTAGACTAAGTAAGTAGACCTTATATAATCGTAAAAAAGATTAGTAATATATATAAACTAGACCTATTAGATTTAATTCGTATATATCTAGTCTTTTCCGTAGAGAAAGTCCGATTAGCTATAAGAATAGAGCCGTTACTAGGATAAGTTTAGGACTCGAAGCTACCTAAGGTTATAAATAATAAAATAGAGTAAGAGATTAATAAAATCGTGATAGTTCGCCTATATTATCGAAAGCTTTAGTATAGAGCGAAATAGGTCGGTAACGACGATAATAATTAGTATATAGCGGGGAATTTTAAGAACTTACCGAAGAAGCTATTAGCTTTTTATATAAAATACCTAGAGTTATCTAGGCCGCCGAAGCGATTAAACGTATAGATTAAAGCTACTTTAAACGATCGATTTAAACCGGATTACCTAGACGATAATAAGAGCCTCTGATTAGCTAGATAGAATTAATTACGTAAGAAAACTTATCCTAGTAGGTTAGGTCCTTTTAAAGAAGGAGGCAATATAACGATCGAGGATAGACTAGAGTAGAAAGGTCGAATAGCTAACTAGCGTTTAATAGCGTTTAGTGGAAGATTCCTTTTAGCCCGTAATAAAAAGGCTTCTACGTATTAGATAGAACTTCTTCCTCTTTTTTCTCCTAGATTTAGTTACTTCGTTAAATAGCACCGAATTAATCTTCTCTTTACTTAGCCTATAACAGTAACTATATTAAAGATAAGCGTTAAAAAGCGTATAGAGACTCGGAAAAGGATATCAAGCGTCTAGTCTAAGATTCCTTTAACGATTCCGTTAGTACCGGGAGCTTTGTTTGGAGACGTCCTATGGACTATTTTCTCGATCTCTGGAATAGTAATATCCGGGCATTCGATTAGTGGCGGATACGTATATCCTTTAATGTCCGAAAGGTCGGCTTAGAGCGGGGGTGGGAAAAAGTTTTAGCGTAGTGTCTCGGCCTTTTCTTCTGGCTCCTATTTCACCAGTGCTAGCGTGTAGGCTACCGATATGTTATGTCGGTTTTTGGCCTATTTGACTAGATTCCAGAGACCAGATAGTAACGCCGATGCCTCCTCTACTCTTTAGCGATGATAATTTCAAAGGGTCTTCTAGACGAGCCGACCCTTCCTATTACAGGCCTAACGGTACACCGCGTAGTTATCATCCTATCTTATACGTTGCCACCGTCGACGGAGCTACTGGACTTCTATACAGAGCTGCTTACACTCTTAGTTAAACCCAGGGATTAAGCGAGGGGATAGGCTAGACCACGGGGTAGATGCCTCAATACTAGCATTCAGGGCCTGAACGAGGGTCGATACAAAGTCGTCGATACCCTCTATTCCATTAAGTTCCGTGGCATCATTCGTTCTAGCGAAGTGCTCCTAAGTCACTTATCGCAGGATTGGTAGGTTTGTCTTGTACCATAGACGCTTTCTCTTTGGCTCTGCAGGTTGCCAGCCCCATTTGATGGCCAGCGCAATCGGGAGGTGGTCAGAGTCACAGTCGAGGTCTTTGTCGATCTTGCAATGGGTTACACTAGCTGCTACGTCTTCGGAGGCAAAGGTTAGGTCGATTGTGGATTCTCCATCCTTCCAACGGTGGGCCATGCTCGAAGGAAGCGGGCCAAGCGCTAAGAAAACGAGGGTGATACACCACTCGTGCTTTGTCACATTGAGGCACCTCTTTTACTTCTGTCGCAGATTTGTCTACCTTCAGCTTCAGCCAATGATAGGCTGCTGGCTCTTGATCTATGCCGCAGAGGTTGGTATTATGAGTAATTAACCCTCGTCGTCCTCAAACCCCCTTGAACGAAGTATTCACGTCACGTTGTGTCAACAAAGTAGTAACGTGTCAAAGCGCATTCCTAATCGTTCAAATCCACGATGAGGGCTGTCAGAAACTTGAGAGGGGATATCCGTATAATAATAGAATATTTTTCATTTGTTTGGGCGTATCGCCTCGACATCTTTACATTGAGAATTGATCCCCTGTTTCCTTTACCCCGCTCCACGCGGGCTGGGCGCAGATTACAGTTATAAGAAAGACGGGAGGAAGAGAAGAGTGCGTTTGAAAACTATATAAGGGTATAAGGTACAGTCGTTGGTCGGAGTTCCTGATCCTGTATTATCTCCAACAAACTTCTGCTATTACTCTTTCTATTGCAATATCCCGACTCCATCGATAAATATTGAAACTTTAAGAACAATATCACTGGGAGAACTTATTGTGAATTCTGTGGCGCTGAGCTCCCCGGGGCCACGATTTTAATCAAGAGAAGTTTCAACTAGGGTGGCCAAGCGCTGGCGAGGTTCTCTCCCTCGTGGAAGTTACATCGCACTCGATGCCAAAGCGTGCGCGTTAGTATTTTGTTAGACCTTTTAGGAGTTCAGGGAATAACCATGAATACCAATCTACCTCTGACATATTATTCCAGGCGGTCTGATTAAAATTTCTCACGAACGAGTGAAAATCAACGTATTTTGTTGACAAGTTCTGATTCGGCGTCAAAAGAAAGAAGCCTCTCATTGATAGCTTAGTACGACATCTTGAAGCTATGTTTAAAACAGGTAGGTCCAACCAGAAACCCAAGCCGAGGGCTTGTACTTCAAAATATTACGCGGATTAAAGTCCGCCAGCGTGGCTCCTTGACTCCTTATTGGCCCCCGCTGATCAGTGAGGAGAGCTATCAAAAGTCTACTGGGCAAGATAAGCGGGGGTGGATCATGTCCATCTATCTTTCTTGCCAAGCCGGCCTGTTTCATGGCTCCTGATTCGCCTGAAGGCTATCGTCGTCTAGCCTTCTCCACCCAGCCCTTCGACGCCCGAAGGAGCGATAACGTTCTCGGTTGCAATGTATCCCCGCACGCTCAAAAACGTCGATTCGTGAGGAGGCGATGTCACGAAGTGCTTTAAAAGCTATGATCAGCCGCGGGGATGTGGCAGATGTTTTCGTTTTATCAGCTTGACATTTAGTCTGACGTGGAACTGTCTTCCCTTTTAACATCGCCCTTGTGTGGTCATATATTGCGTCCAGCATGGTTAATGAGTATGATGATCGAGATGAAACCTTCTGGGCACCGGGGACAGTCGCCCTAGAAGATGGTAAATTGAGCTTCCTTTCCAATGTGAGCCAACCTATAATGACTGATCAATGTAGTTCACCGAACCAGCGACCAGCTTGTGCTTGTGCCGACGCCATCGGCCGATCCCAATGATCCCCTCAATTGGTCGACCGCTCGAAAAATGCTAAACTATACCCTTGTCAGCTTCTTCGTCCTGTGGACCTTTGTCCAACTTGATATAGGGTTCACAGCATGGGGCCCGGTGCAAGAAGAGCTTGGTTTCTCCATCGATATTCTCAATGCTGGCTCGGCAGTCAACTACGGCGGTCTTGCCATCGGTTGCTTTTTCTTCATTCCCCTCGTCCATAAATATGGTCGCCGACCGATGTATATCTTCAGTACTGCGCTGCAGCTTGCATCCTGCATTTGGCAGGCGAAGACCTACAGTGTTGGTAGCTTCATTGGTTGTAATCTGATTTCTGGATTGGGTGGTGCTATATCGGAAGTCATCGCGCAAATTACTGTTGCAGACATGTTTTTTGTCCACCAGCATGGTACCATGAACGAATGGTTTGTTATATTCCAAAGTGCAGGAGCCTTCCTTGGGCCCGTTGCATCTGCTTATATTGTCGAATCACAAGGGTGGCGATGGATGTGGTGGTGGTGTGTCATATTCTTTGCTATCACATTACTTTGTGTGATCTTCCTCTTCGAAGAGTCGAAATACGTGCCCATTCTGAACGGCCAAAGCGTCGCACTTGCGGCTCCAGCTCATGCAACCGAGTTGCCAAATGACTCTAAAGCCAAGTCACCTGTCGATGGCAAAGTCGCGACTGAACAAGTGCCCGCCAGTCGAGTCGCAGCCAACCCGGAAATTAAGCCAAAAATGTACGCCGAAAGGATGGCTCTCATCACACCGACCGAAGAATCGCTGCTTCCTCATTTTTGGCAGCCGATTGAGACATTGTTCACCTTCCCGGCTGTGACGTATGCTGCTATCACATATGGCTCCACTTTGGCTTTTTTCGCGATGATGACGTCGCTCCAGGCAACATATATGTTGCTGCCACCATACAACTTTGACGCAATCGGTATCGGTCTCATGAACGTGGCACCATTTGTCGGTGCTGTTCTGGGCTTCCCCGTTGGCGGTTACCTGAGTGACAAGTCCATCCTGTGGCTTTCCAAGAAGAACGGTGGTATCTATGAGCCCGAACAGCGGCTTTGGTTGGCCCTTCCTGTTGTGATACTGGGCCCTGCGTCCATCTTGTTGTTTGGCCTTGGTCTTGCCTACGTATGATCTAATCTAGCTTTCTCTCAGGACTGAATCGTCAGCTAATGTTAATGTTTCTCAGGGCGTACATTGGTCCTGCCTCGCCGTCGGCTTCGGTGTTTTCGGTTTCACGCTGTCTTCCATCAGTGGTGTCTCGCTTTCCTACCTTATGGATTGTTACCAGGATGTAAGTATTTCTACTTTCGTTGTCTTCAATTTCTTTGTCTTCTTAACACTAATTTCATCATCTATAAGATTATTGGCGATGCCCTAGTCGGTGTTATCTTTATGCGGAACATTATATCTGTCATAATTCTCTTTGTGATCACTCCGTGGGTCAATGGTATGGGTATGCAGAATCTCCATATTCTCGCAGCAGTGTTGGCTTTCTTCCTCTATCTCATTCCGGTGCCTCTTCTTATTTGGGGGAAGAAGGCACGAGTCGCAACTGCCGCGCGCTATCGCAGAATGGCTGCGAACCAAATCGGTCGCCGAACAGTCTGAGGTAATATTAATATTATGATTTTTGACACTTCTACGGACATAGATTATTTCGTTATTGTGCTTCCGTATTAGGTATATATTTGCTAAGCTCAAACCAGTAGAATGGAATCTTAGTTTCTGACCTTCTATACGGAAGTCACCGTAGCTTTGAAATAGATTGACGTCTATTTCGAGGACATAATTATTTGAGTGCTCCGTATTATTACTATTACTCGTCCTTCTCTATCCGTAATTAGAAAATAGGCCGTAAGTGACGTAAGTGATGTGCCCGGAATTAAGCGATTAGCAAGATATAGCGCTAGTTTGAACTCGGTTATAATCGCTTGAGATAAGCGAAGCCCCTCTCTATCCTGCTAGCTATGGGATAATTTAAGCGGTGTCTTATTAGTAGGGTAGCGTACCGAAGAATTGGAGCCTATGCCATTATGGTCGCCACTTCAGTATCGGTAAATCGGTCAAGGAAGTCTTCTGGCGTTGACGGGTGCCATTGCGCGACGGCGAGCTTGATTCTATTTAACCTTATAACTAGTTTGAGGTTATCGGCTATAGCAAGATATCTAAGTGGATGCTTACTTAAGCAATATCATAGAAGTAGGAAAGCATTGGTGAGCTAAGGACAAGATAACGGTCTAGGAAGCGTTCCCGATCTTTTAGTCTTAAGGTGGGAACTTGCGATCGCAAAAGGCAATTAAATGTCTCCGGAGTAACAAGACACATCCAGATATCCATTGACGATGGGTCTAGGCCCGATTAATCTAAATACTAGGCTTTGATAAGACTTAAGGTGTAATGTAATATCAAGAACGGTAGATAAGCTCGGGTGGACCTAACCTTTTTGTATAAGTGTCTACGACAGCTAACTATCCGGAATTAGAGACTCGAGATTAGACTTTGTAGGGACGCAAAACAGATAAATAAGACACTGCCGTGTCGGCAAATCCTAGAGGATCATACTCATGGCACTATAATAAACCTTCGTGATAGTATAACGCTATAGCTAATTGGGAACGTACCTTACGAGAAATAAGTTGGTTAACTAGCGGCCCGCCGGCTAACGGCCCGGACCGGACTATCGTTTTTCCCATCCTTTCTCCGGGGAAAAACCATATCTCTTTAATAGAGAGTTTTACATAAGAAATCGGCTAATCTGGCCAAAGATACTAATATCTAGTAACTTCCTAATCTATCGATTCATTAGATCATTAATAAATAATCAGATAATCGATTAGATTAACGATTTAGTCTAGATTTAACTATCTAAACTATCCTAATCATATACTTGAACACCTATTCGTTCACTAGTTTAGCAGTTCAGATTTAATATACTTATTACGCGGAGCCGACTGGTCACTGTGAGTTAGGATATCTTCGGGTTATACTTACCTGGTCCTAGCTGTAGATTCTAAGAGTATCTCTCAATCGTACCGTTGCTTCGCAAAGCCTTGCTGCGGGATGGATCCTATTGAGTGTCTTGCAGAACGTGCTAGAAGTGCGCGCTAAGTAAGTTAATCACGAAGTGTTACTACTAAGTGAATCCCCTACTTATAGGTTAGGTTATCTTAAGGTGAACTGTGAAGTATAAAGTGCTAAAGGTGTTAACTAAGTAATAATGTGTAATAGAGTCCTAGTAAACTAAGTAATTAATCGCGAAGAACTAAATATATAATGCTAAATGAATATCCTTATATATCTAGTCCTTCCTATCGGGTGATAAGTTTGAGCTTATCGCTTAATAAGTTAGGCTTATCGCCTAGTAAGTCCTTCCTACCGCTTAATAGGATGTTAGTTACGTACGGATTTACCGCGCACTTATATTTAGGGTGTAATCTTAGTGCCGGTAAAAGGGTGGCCTTTTCCTACGTCTCGCTAACCGTCCTATTACGTAAGTAGGTATTACTTATAATAGTTAGTTATAGGCCGTTTCTAGCTCCCGCCCTAAATGTCCCTGCTTCGGGTTCCTTAGGGCGTATCTAAGTATACCGAAATATACGTAATAACGCTAGTCCTTAGCGTCCGTAGAAAAATTAGTCTACGGTTACTACTTAAATAGCTACGGCCCCCGCGCCTCTTTAAGGTCCGTAATATTATCCCCTCCTTCCCTATTCTTTATCCTTAAAGGATTTAAACGTTAGTGTCCCCCTTAGGTTTATGCGTTTATTTTCTATTTTTTCATAATTTTTCTTCCCCTATAGCCTATTTTGCTAACTATATCTTCTAAGGCTTCCGTTCGTAAGAACGCCTTAACCCGTCGTATCGAAGACGAAGGCTTTCAATCTACTATTCCTTATAAGCGTTATATTCGTCTAAAGCGAGTATGTATTCGTGCCGATTATTCCGACCGCTATAGCGACTATATCCGTAGTGGTAGCGGTGTAAAGTGCACGATATTAAATCCGACCTTTACCGATACTAAGTAGCGTTATCTAGTAAAGTCTCAAATTTTATTAGAGAAGGAGGAAGAGGCTATTATCCTTTAGTAATAGTTAATATTGGCTAAGTTAGCCCGCCTCCGAAAACAAAAACGTTTATTGCAAAAACGTATAGGTGATTTTATTACTCGGGATTTTAAAGAAGTTACCGAGTTCGAAGAATTAGAGCGCCGCGAGGTTAAAGAACGCGAGCGTCTTAAAAAAGAGCGTGTTACTTCTAAATAGAAGAGTCGTAGGGTAGAGAGCGCTCGTACCGCGGGCGAGGTACCTCGATCTACTATTATAATCGATAACCGTATTCTTACAGTAACGTTAGAGGATCCTACTCTAACTTAGTTATTAAATAATCTATTATTCTCCTAGGCCGACCTAGACGCTTCCTAGCTTATCGAGGCGCCCGGGTCTCCCTCTCCTATTAGTAGAACTATCGAACTAGCTAGTAGTAGCCCGTTAGGTTCTCGATAGGTTCCTATATATTCTCTAAGGTATCGTATCCCTTCTATTTCACGAGGTAGTGAGGTTTTCTACTAATTTTATTAGTACTTAGGATCTCCTTAACCTTATATTCGTTTTCCGTTTCTTCCTCGATTTTAATATTAATAGCGATTTCGGCGTTCTTAGGTGCTTTTTCTAATAATAAGATATAAAACGTTATATAGATACGTCGTATACTATTAGGTAGCTTTAGACGATAATTAAGTAGTCCTATTTTTTCTATAATTTTAAATAGTCCTAATTTAAGATAATCGAGTTTCGCGCTAGGTCGTCTAGTGCGAATATTACGTCGTAAAAAGTAAACTTTCCCCCCCTTTTAAAAGTCTAGCGCCTCCTAGCGCGATTAGTCGTAGTAGAACTTTATACGTATATTAAGAAACTCGATATCTCGTAATAGCTATAGGTATAGTTACTTTAATCTAGTCGCTAATAGTCGTAATAACTCTACGAGTAGTTACTTTCCGATTAGTTCTCCGATAATAGTAGGATTAAACCTATAATTTACGAAGAAAGGTGTTTCTTTTATTACCGAATATATTATATTATTATATATAAATTATACTATTAGTAATAATCCTATCTAGTCGTCCTATTAGAAGTTTATATAGTGTCGAAGATACTATTCTAAGGTCTAGTTAACCCGTTCTATCTATCTATTAGTTTACGGTTAGTAAGTAGTAGAGAGTCTATACTTAATACCGAGTTAGTCCGTAAATAATTACTATATATTTAATATAAATAACTTATCTCTATCCGAGGTTATCTTACTCGGTATTCCGTGATTAGTAAATATATATTTAAGTAATAGGTTAGCTATCTATTATATATCGATAGTTTCTATTATTAGAATTATATATATATATTTAGTTAGTCGGTCGACGACTACTATAATTATATTATTACCCTCCGAAATAGGTAACTTTATAATAAAGTCTATAGTAATCTATTCCTATAGCCGTATTAGAGTTTCCGATTCTTCTATTTCTCCGTATAGTACGTATTATAACGATTTATTTCGTTAATATAAGTTATATTATTAAATATATTTCCGGACTTTTCGATATAATCCCGGAATATAATAGTTTCGTATAATCTTTTTAACCGTTTTCTCGATTCCTAAGTGTCCTTATATAATTTCGTCGTGGTATAATCGAATAATTTTATTCTATAGGTTCCTAGGAATATATAATAAACTATAGATATAGACTAAGCTATCCTTAGTTAGTATAGTGCTATTACCTAGGATCTTCTATATTAATTCGTCGTAAGTAGTTACTTCTCGAATCCTTTTAATCTATTCGTCGCTTTATAATTCGCTAGTTACTACGAGGATTTAGTAGTTATAAATAATATTTCCTTCCTAATCCGTAGCTAGGATCGCGGGTACTACCTCCTAAGTTCTAAGTTCGTAGTCCGGTCGTCGGTTTAGCGCGTCCGCGACTACGTTCTTAGTTCCTTTATAGTATATAATCTTAAAGTCGTATTAGGCTAATATTTCTATATATCTAGCTTATTGTTATATAAGTTTCTTTATAGTCGTAAAGTAAGTTAAATTATAGTAGTCCGTTCTAACCGTTATAGTGTATTTTACTCCTTCTAGATATACCCTCTATATCTAGAATACTAATATTATAGCTAATAGTTCCTTATCGTAGATATCGTAGTTAAGCTCTACTAGGATTATTTTATAAGACTAGAAAGCGATAGGTCTAAGCTTACCGTCCTTCCCTAGTTATATAAGTTATACGCTAAGCGCGAAGTCTAACGCGTCGGTTTCGATAATAATTAGTGAATCGTAGTTAAATATCGTAATAATAGCTTCTCCTGCTTTCTTATTATATATTTCCTTAAGTGCGGTAAATGACTTTTCCGCTTCTTCGTCCTATTCGAACGGTACTCCTTTCTTAGTGAATCGGTAGAGTCTTACCGTATATTTCGAGTATTACGATACTAATTTCCGATAGTATTTAACTAGTCCGAGAAAGCTCTATACGTCCTTAACGTATATCGGTATTAGCTATTCGAGGATACTCCTAACTTTATCTTTCTCTATTCCTAACCTATTAGGGCTAATAG